GCACCTGTTATTTATTTATTTTAAATAGGTTTTGAAACCAGTCCAAAACCAACCCGAGAACCGGACTGTAGTTGTCCTGAGAAGCAAACTGGAACCAGACCCCTTATGGTTCCAGTTCCACCCTTTCAAGGACCCGGGTTTACACCTATTTGCTCATGAGAGAATCTTGAAGAAATTTTCCCACCTCTGCTGAATATGAAATACGGAGTAATTGACAAGTATGTAAGACATTGTGCTCTTCCTTTTGTACGGGTGATCTTTTAGCCTTTCAGGATGGAACCACACATTTCAATTCTCTAATTTTTATGTCATTCACGTGATTGTAAATTAATAGGCATATTGCATTTGATTTTAATCTGTGTGTTTGTTGACTTGTTGAGCAGCCCACTCAGATATGAATGTAGTTACAATACTTGTTGGAAACAAATCGGATCTCAAGGATGCCCGAGAGGTGACAACTGATGAAGGCAAAGCCTTGGCTGAAGAAGAGGGTCTCTTCTTTATAGAAACTTCAGCTCTTGACACTTCAAATGTAAGTTCCGCATTTCAAACGGTTGTGAAGGAAATTTACAACATTCTGAGCCGGAAGGTTATGCAATCTCAAGAGTTCCAACATAAAGATGCCCGTCACCTAGCAAACGGGGAAAAAGTTGTTCTACAGGGAGTTGGAAATTCTAAAGCTGATGTGCAAGAAGCAAAGCGTGGGTGCTGCTGAGTCCTAGAAGTGATTCTCACTTTTTGTGTGTAAACCAATCACATGTTTCATTTCTCACTTCGATACGGAGTTTCATTTCAGCAGGCCGGAAAGGTAATGGACTTGTAATTTCCAGCTATTGTAGAATTGTAAATTATCTCAGGGTGAAGTGTTTTGGATGGTGTGCAGTAGCACATGATTTTCTGTAAAATGAGTATGTTTTATTGTTCAATGCTTTTTTCTTGTTATCCTTGTTTGGTATACAAACCCTTGTTTTTTTGGAAAACTATCTATATATGTGACTAAAGTTCAGTGCTTTTTTGGAAAGCACTAGGAATTTCCAAGTGTATTACTGGTTTATTTCTTTACCGTGGGGCTAGATTGCTAGAAAGGCAATTGGAAAGCAAATATATCCCCACTTTGATACAACGGAAGTTGCAATCCCTGAAATGGAATTATTCTTTTTATAAGTGGAACTGTCGGGGTGTATCAACTAATCCTCCGTGTCACATGCTAAGGTTTCTAACGAGGGGAGAGAGGAGCCGCGAAGGGAAACCCTAGCCGCCTCCTCCTCCTCCTCCTCCTCTTTCTTCCTTGTTTGGACTTCAATCATGGAAAACGATTCGTTTAATCAGTATTTTCAGTTCTATCTATACGTTTATTTCCTAGCGTTGTCTAGAGATATTATTTTCGGTGGTGAAGTGTCGCCCACCAGATCTATATTCTCTGCCATCATCGGTCGGGTGTTCTTGTGTGCTAGTAAGAGGTTTGTATTGGCTTCTTTATCAATCATGAATGAGGATTTCTTCTGCATCGATATAGAGGCTGATCGCCCCCTCTTGAACCACCGCCGATCTAGGAAGATGATATTGGATGGATTGCTTTTTTTCCGGTGGCTAGTCAAACTGGAACAATTTCTGCACTTGGCTCCTTACCGGTGGCTGGAAAAACTGGCAAGTTCAACAATTCCTTTTCGGTGGCTGGTCAAGTCGAACCCATTTCGAATAGTATGAGCAGACACAATGTGGTACGAGTCTACATTGTTGCAGGGTTAGCGAACATGAGTGCTTTTATATGGCGTTTTTGTTCTTTGTCTCACCCTAGTGTAGTATTGAACGCTATGATTGTAATGATTCGGCTTTTAGTCGTTATTTTTCTTGTTAAGCATTGATTATCAATAAAATGGTTATTTGATTTTAAAAAAAAGTGGAACAGTGGAAGTGGAAACCTTAACACTCCAATCAAACATTCCATCCCTATGAGTAGGGGTGGACTCGGGCCGGTTCGGGCCTGGGCCCGGCCGGTTCGCGGTTCAGGAATTCTAGGCCCGAGCCCGAACCGCCGGTGGCCGGTTCCGGTTCCGGGCCAAACCGGGCCGGGCCGGGCCAACCGGGCCGGGCCGGGCCAACCGGGCCGGGCCGGGCCAACCGGCCCACATATTTTTTTTTTGGTTTTTGGTTCTCCTATTTAACCCCCTATCCCTCCCCCTCAACCCCAAACCATCCCAAACCACCTCAAATGACCCAAAATACCTAATCCAACCTAAAACTTAAAAAAATTTCAAAAAAAAAAAAAAATTAAAATCCGGCCCGGACTGGGCCCGAACCGGCCGGGCCGGTTCACCAAAAGCTGGGCCCGAGCCCGGACCGCCCAGCACTCGGGCCGGGCCAAACCGAACCGGTGGACCCACCGGGCCACGGGCCGGGCCGGTCCAAACAGTGACCGGGCCGGGCCGGTCCCGGGTCGGGCCGACCGGCCCGAGTCCACCCCTACCTATGAGAAACTAAAGTTCCATCTTTCTCAATCTAAAATAGATGATTCTGTCATGCACAAAATCGGGGTTGTGAGAACGTGTTGGTTTTGGTTTGGTTTCGGGTTAGCCGGTTTGGATTCCAGATTGGTACCAGATTGGGGTACATTCCAGATCGGGAGGGATGGAATGTCTTGGAACCGGCTCGGGCCCATTTTTTGTTTTGTTTTTGGGGTTTTTCGACTGGTTTGGGTAAGAGGCGGGTTGGACTGGGTGGTTTGGGGGTGTTTGGGGGTGGATGTTAGAATTAATAAGCAAAACTCCCCAAAAAATATAGTACTCGACCTGACCCAGGCCCGGTCCGGTCTCGGAACATAGACAGGCCTGTACCAGGCCTCCATTTCCCACACCCGGGCCCGCCCTAAGCCCGACCGGACCCGATCCCGACCCGGGTCTGGTCCATCCCCAGTTATAGCACAAACTTTGTCGGTACTTATTTAAAATATAATACTACAATTTCAAACTTTTATCATACTAACTTCGTCGCGCTCAACTTTGCCAAGTTGATGGTGTGAAATTAAAATAGTAAGAACTGTGTGACTTAGGTTTGTGTAGAGGAGAGAGAGATATGAACAGAGCCACAAGTTTATTGCTTTAAAAGGAAAGTGACAAAATATTTTGGGACAAACAAAAAAAATTTAGCAAAGTCTAGTGGGATGGAAAGAGTATTGTATTACAAAATTCCAATGGTCTAACACTAATTTATCACGAATTGCACATTTTTTATCAAGATCATGTGATACTTTTTTTGTGGCAAACTGCTTTCGCACAAAGAACTCTTGATTGATTGATATGTGTATATTGAAATGTTTTACTTCGTTTTCCTCCACTCCCCCCTCTATCGTTTTTTTTTATCTTAGTTGTCTATAAATAGAAAAGTAATGATATATGAAGTACTGAGCTATATGAAGTTTTAATATCTTTCAGGCCAAACCTAAAGCTGCCAATATAAGAAGAAACATTTTATGGTATTATGAGGACTTTTGCACCATATACTCTATAGATCGAGCTACTGGGCATACTGGAATGGAGTGAGAAGATATGCTTGGAGATATCGGGTTTTATTCGAGTGTTCAAACAGTCACAGAAGAGATAGACGATTCCACAATTTATGGTGTTGACAAACGAAACTCATCAAAGAGAAAAGGAATGTCTGATAATAACACAGCACAAGCAAGTCATTGTAAGAAGAAGCTTAAGCCTGGACCAAACATTGATACATTTTCAGCTTGTATGGAGGCGGCTTCTATCCGACTAGAAAAAGCAGGCTTGGAGATGTCAAGAGTAGAGACAGACATAGCAGATAAAACATCACATCTCCCAACTGCACTAGATCAGCTCGAAGGTATGACTAGAGGGATGAAATATAAGCTGATGGAAAAAATGGGAAAAAATCAGAGCAAGTTGTTGATCTTTTATGGGCTACCTGATGCAGAGAAGATGGATTGGTGCCAGTGGTATTTGACGGACAAATGAAATGTGATTTGTCATGTATTTTTTTTGTGGGAAGCACTTCAGATTGTACTAAACACTTCAGTACTTTTGGACCTTGGTTCTTACCAATATGTTTTGCTGAAGAAGTTTTTGTTTATAAGCTTAAGAATCATTTGTCATGTATATTTTTTGTGGGAAGCACTTGATATTGTACTAAGCACACTTCAGTACTTTTGGACCTTGGTTTTTACCAATATGTTTTGTTGAACAAGTTATTGTTTATAAGCTTAAGAATCATTTCTTCATGTTGATGTCTCTCCCTTGGTACATTATTATTACTACTATTATTTTTTCATGGTTTGTTATCAGCATATTCTCCAAAACGTTATAACAGATCTGTTATTGTCTCCAAAACGTTATATCAGTTCTTGGAAATATTTCCATTGCTTTTTTATGCAAACTGGATTCTTAAAATTGAGTAACAAGTTGGAGTACCATTTAATATGGAGCATTTGTATTATCACTTAAATAAAATGATTGCGCATAAGAATGCAGCCGGCCAGGGGCTCCAATTATAAGTTTGAGTGATGCATCTTTTGGATATCCTAGGTTGCCCCATTGTTCAAGAACTTAAATTTTGGAATTGATTTGGATAGCTCCGTTGCAATGGTTGGTCCAAACGGAATTGGAAAGTCAACCATATTGAAACTAATTTCTGGTGATCTTCGACAACCTCAGGAAGCTCATTCCAAGGTGACACCCTTTGATGGGAACATTCGAGGATTACAAGAATGATAATAACAAATAAAAATCCAGACATCCCTGCAGGCTTCAAGGCTGTTCCATGTGCACCCAATATAATTTTAGTCTGTTCCTTTTTAGTGAAAGTTGAAAGCCAGTTCTGAATTTGCATCAAGAAAATGCAATCAGTAGAATAAAACAGGCTGTTTTTTCTCAGGTCTGCTATTGATAAAAATAATGACTTGTTAGATCGTAACCTGCAATTGCATATGTAATTCTATAAATAAAGTGTATCTATCAACTAGAAGATAGTAACAGACATATTGGAGTTTGAATTCCCAAAAAGATAGTAACAAAATATTACTCCACAAAATATACACGTTTGCACTTCTAAATGAACTTCATATTGTACTTCAAATAAACATCAAGTTTTATGCTTGACTTCAATTTTTCCAAGAAGCATACATTTCAGTTACTAAATCTTCTCTAAATGTAGTTCATGCTTCACTAGGTCGTAAGTCAGCTCCAACAAATGAATCATACTCATCATCTGGATCATCTGAGTCCTCGTCTGATAGATCCTCCTCCTCCTCCATAGGATCAATGTTATGTTCATGTCGAATAAAGTTATGTAACAGTGCACATGACACTATTATTCGACATGTCATAGGCATAGAATACCACGACCCGCTTCGTAAGATTGCCCATCGATTCTTAAGTAATCCAAATGCACGCTCAATCACATTCATAGCTTTTGAATGCTTCATATTAAAAAACTCTTTCGCATTATGAAGAAGATGATTGTTTTGCCATTCAGATAAGTGATATCTTTGTCCTCGATAGGGTGCTAGAAACCCTTCACAGTTTGCATAACCTTTATCAACCAAATAATAGCATCCTATAAATTTATATAGATATACAACTCACACACAAACATATAATTATATATGATTCAGATATATACTCTTACATACATGCAAAAGCACACCTTGGGAAACTCGAAATCTTCTAGTGAGGGCATCCCTTAAGACTCTACCGTCCGCAGCTGACCCCTCCCATTCAGGAAAAACATAGATAAATTGCATTTGTGGGTTACAAACACCAAGGACATTTGTGGCAGTATCTCCTTTTCTGGAACGGAAACGATTGTGATCCTTTTGGTCCACATGAACTTTAACATAAGTCCCGTCTAATGCACCAACACAGTTCTGCAACAGTATAGCTAAATATTAAAAATGTAATAAGAAAATTAAATGATATACACACCTCAAATATGTTCCATCTATAATAATTGCATTCGTTGATTGGATCAGGTTTTGCATGCAAAATAGAATGAAGTTTTAGCACTGCATGTATGACATTTGCAAAACAATTGCTAATAGTCCTCCCTGATCTTTTAAACTCAGTTATTAAGGTTCTGTTTTTCTTGTGATGAGATAGTATGAGTAGGGAAATAGCTACTTGTTCTTCAACGATCATGTGCCTAGTTGGCTTCAATCCACCTTTCATAACTAGCATATCACATAGTTTAAAGAATGCTGCACGACACATTCTTAACTCAGAAATGCAACTCTTCATTCCCATACACCAACCTCTTAAAATATCCTTCCCTTTTGGAGTGATTATCTATCACATAAGTAATAGAATGTGTTCTTCTACGTCTATTTGATACCAACACAACACACATCCAAATTACACAGTTGAAAAACCATGATTGGACATTAGACCACCAGTATAATGACTTTTTCCTTATGATCGACCCTCATTCTGTAAAAATAAAAAATTACAGTTTCATACAACCATACCAATCTGTTACAGTCTGTAGCAAATAAATGAATAAATATATAAATAAGTAAAATAAGGGGTTGAATTTGACTAGTGTTACAACCATTTATATATCTTATTCCTGGTAGAGAGTCATTTTATTAAATATTGATAGAGTTTGAATCTAGATCTTGATGTTTGGTGGCTGGAAAACATCTTGTTTGGTTGCTACTTTTAAATTTATTGATTACGTAGTATCAATATACTCCGTATGTGTGTGTAAAGATAATAAACAAAAAGTAGCAACCATAATAGTGAAAGTCTAAAATTGAAATTTTAAAAGATTAGGTCGTACTTACTCTTCTTCATTTAGTCGAGCCAAGCTTCACGCTTTACCGCCTTGGAGTTCCGCTGGGTTGAAAGTCTAAAATTTAAATTTTGAAAAAACGCAACTTTGCAAGGATTTCTCTGGCAAAAAATTCCTATTCACGCTACTTTCAATTGAAAATTTACACTAAATAGAATCGTGTTTGTTCAAAATCCACTAAAACACAGAATAATGAATTACAAAATAGAGCTAAGAATTTGGGAGTTTACTTACTATTTGCTCCAGACTCCATATTCGTACCTTTGCAATCGAAATACACGGATTGTGTGCAGCAGCGAAAACGACACTGAGTTCCTTAGAGATGCAGCAGCGAAAACGACACTAAGTTTCAAGGCTATTTTTGATATTTTACAATTAACTCATATCTTAACTATAATGAAGTAAACGTATATATGTCTTATTAAGCAAGACATCATATCCAAGTAAACGGGACAAGGGTCAGTTTGGTACTTGAAGTTGCAAAAAAGGGGGTCAAATAAGTCCTTATATAGTCTAATAACAGTGCAATTTGAGGTGGCTCCCGGTGGAATTTTTTGATGAAATTTTTTGAACATCTTATTCATTAAGTCTAGTTTACTGATACCAAATTTCAGATAAAAATTCAATCGGGAAGACATTCAAATAAACTCTTGAAGATAACAGTGCAGTTAAAAGCGCAGTTATCTTCAAGAATTCATTTGAATGTCTTCCCGAATGAATTTTGAGCTGAAATTTAGTATGTGTAAACTAGACTTAATAAATAAGATACTCAAAAAATTTCATCAAAAAATTCTACCGGGAGCCACCTCAAATGGCACGTCCGGACAGAATCTTCTATATAAGGATTTATTTGACCCCTTTTTTGCAACTTCGAGGACCAAACTGACCTTTTACTCCTAAGTAAACGTATGTTTATTACACACCGCTTATTAAAAATGGCTTATTAGTAAACATGTCCACGGTGTAGAAGCCAATGACCCATGAACAATAAAATTATAAAATACGGGGTAGGAAAATTGTCTATACACAGAAAATTGTCCAGCGATGGTGAAATTGGGTTGGGCACAGCAGGGCCGTATATATACTATCACGTCTCAGAGTGAAATTGTCTATACTTAGTTTATTGGTTTGATTCGTCTCACCGCTGATGGCTGTTCTCGCTCTTCCCTTGTTGACTTCAATCATCAGACCTCATAATTGTCGCTTCTCTTTCTTCATCACCGCCGTGCCCCGCGAACAGGCCACACTTCGCCGGCGCTTTTTCTCCCGGATCCACAGTATCTCCGCTTTGAACACCCATTCGGCGTGCCATGACTATGACTCTGGCCCCAATTCTGATAATCGAAGTAAGCTACCGGCCCCCACTTTTCAACAAGCAATCCAGCGCCTCCAGGAGTATTGGGCTTCTGTAGGATGTGCTGTGATGCAATGCAGCAATACTGAGGTTGGAGCAGGGACAATGAATCCTCTGACATTTTTAAGGGTTCTAGGTCCGGAACCATGGAATGTTGCTTATGTGGAACCTAGTATTCGGCCAGATGATAGCCGTTATGGTGAGAATCCGAATCGGCTTCAAAGGCATACTCAATTCCAGGTTATATTGAAGCCTGATCCTGGAAACTCGCAGGACCTTTTCATCCGGAGTTTGTCAGCCCTAGGAATCAATATTAGTGAGCACGACATTCGCTTTGTTGAGGACAACTGGGAGAGCCCAGTGCTTGGTGCCTGGGGTTTGGGTTGGGAAGTTTGGATGGATGGGATGGAAATTACCCAATTCACATACTTTCAGCAGGCTGGAAGTATTCAGTTGGAGCCAATATCTATTGAAATTACTTACGGCCTTGAGCGTATCCTTATGTCACTTCAGGGAGTTGATCATTTCAAAAATATTCAGTATGCCCATGGGATAACATATGGAGAGCTTTTCCTGGAAAATGAGAAGGAAATGAGCGCATACTATCTGAAACATGCTACTGTTGATCATATTAAAAAACATTTTGATTTGTTCGAAGCTGAAGCTCAACATATGCTTGATTTAGGCCTACCGTTACCTGCGTATGATCAGGTTTTGAAGACATCCCATGTTTTTAATATACTAGACTCTAGAGGCTTTGTTGGAGTGACAGAACGAGTTCGTTATTTTGGTAGGATGCGTAGTTTAGCTCGTCACTGTGCTCAACTCTGGCTAAAGACAAGGGAGAGTCTTGGCTACCCACTTGGTGTGATATCTCACCCTGACCATCTTGTTATTACAAGAGATACGCTGAAGGGAGCAGCTGGACAGGTGCCTGAAGAGACACAGTTGTTTGTGCTTGAGATCGGGACAGAAGAGCTGCCCCACAATGATATAGCTGATGCATGCGAGCAACTCAAAGATGTAATTGTTAAGTTGTTGGACAAACTCAGATTGGCTCACGGAGAAGTGCAAACATATAGCACACCACGTAGACTTGTGGTTCATGTTCAACACTTAAATTTTAAGCAAGATGAGGTTGGTGTTGAGGTTCGTGGACCTCCAGTTTCCAAAGCATTTGATAACCAAGGAAATCCAACAAAGGCTGCTGAAGGTTTTTGCCGTAAAAACAATGTTCCCATAAAGTCCATGTACAAACGGCCTGAAGGTAAAACGGAATATATCTATGTACGTGTAGTGGAACATGCTCGGCTTGCTCTAGAGGTTTTATCTGAAGATCTACCTGGGGCAATATCCAGGATATCATTCCCGAAGTCGATGCGTTGGAACTCTGATGTTCTCTTCAGCAGACCTGTTCGTTGGATTTTGGCCCTTCATGGAGGCGTTGTAGTACCCTTTTCATTTGCTGGTGTAGTGAGTGGAAATGTGTCGCATGGTCTACGTAACACTCCTTCTGCCACTGTGGAGGTAGTAGATGCAGCATCGTATGGCGATATGATGCAACATGCTGGGATTTTTGTTGATGTTGAGCAACGCAAGAAGTTTATATTGGAGCAGTCCCATGATCTTGCAAAAAGTGTAAATGGATTTCCTATCGTGCAGACTGGTTTACTTGACGAAGTTGTAAATCTTGTTGAGGCACCTGTGCCAGTACTTGGAAAATTTAAGGACACCTTCCTAGAGCTTCCTAAAGAACTACTGATAATGGTCATGCAGAAGCACCAGAAATACTTTGCAGTGACTAATGAGAATGGGGATCTGCTGCATTACTTCATTGCTGTTGCAAATGGAGCAATTAATGAAACGGCGGTGATAAAAGGAAATGAAGCTGTACTCAGAGCTCGGTTTGAAGATGCAAAGTATTTCTATGACTTGGATAGAAGTAAAAAGTTTTCTGAATTTCGAATTCAACTAAAGGGGATACTTTTCCATGAGAAGCTGGGAACAATGCTGGATAAGATGGTGCGGGTTGAACACCTGGTTAGTGAAGTTAGTCTGTCTCTGGGTATAGATGAAGAAACTCTTGAAGTTATCCATGATGCAGCATCTTTGGCAATGTCAGATCTAGCTACAGCAGTTGTTACAGAGTTGACCTCCCTCTCAGGGATAATGGCACGTCACTATGCTCTTAGAGATGGCTATTCAGAGGAGGTGGCAGAGGCCTTATTTGAGATCACTCTTCCACGGTTTTCGGGAGATTTAGCCCCAAAAACAGTCGCCGGGACAATGTTAGCAATTGCTGACAGGTTGGACAGCCTTGTTGGCTTGTTTGCTGCTGGTTGTCAACCAAGCTCTACTAATGATCCATTTGGCTTGCGAAGGATTGCTTATGGCCTTGTGCAACTTCTGGTAGAGAATGACAGAAATATGGATTTAAGACAAGCTTTGCAACTTGCTGCTGCTGTTCAGCCCCTGAAAGTAGAGGCCAGGACAGTTGATGATGTACATCAGTTTGTTACACGAAGATTAGAACAATTTCTGATGGATAAAGGCATTGTCCCTGAAATAGTTCGATCTGTTCTTGTGGAGCGGGCAAACTTGCCTCATTTGGCAACCAAGTCAGCACAAAAAATGCAATACTTGTCAGATGGGGTCCTGCGAAAGGTTGTGGAAGCATATTCTCGCCCAACAAGAATTGTGCGTGGAAAGGATGTAAATGCTGATGTGGAGGTGGACGATACAGCTTTTGAAGCAAATGAAGAGCATCGTCTGTGGAACACTTTTCTATCATTAAGAAGCAAAGTTCATGCTGAAATCGAAGTGGATGATTTTTTTGAAGCCTCCTTAGCACTTGTAGAGCCGATAGAGAATTTCTTTAATCACGTGTTTGTAATGGTGGAAGATGAAAGAATAAGAAACAATAGGCTTGCCATGCTCAAGAAAATTGCAGAACTACCTCTTGGAATTGTAGACCTCTCAGTCTTACCGGGATTTTGAATGTTTAACCCCTACATGCTACGTAAAATATGTACTTTTTCTAGAATTCATATTCCGTAATCACAACATTGTATTCACACGATTGGTTTGGGATAAGAATTTGTTATAAGTAGCTGTTGTTAGTTCTCATTTTTCATACGAGGAGTGCTTTGTAAAAATAAAAAATAAAAAAAATAAAAATGTACTCTCTCTCTCTATATATATATAAAATTAGACTAAGCTAAATACCGAGTATAGAGCTCTCGTCTCTCTCTAGGGTTGCCTCACGCAACGCTTAGCTCTTTCTCCGGCGGCGACCTCCTCAGGTCGTGGGTTCCGGCGGCTTCGGCCGGCTGCTTTTCTTCGGTTGGCGTACAATCTCTTCAATAACCTTCCCAAGTCTTGGATGTTTTGGTCGACGCAGGGCTGCTTTCGAACAGTTTTGCGCTGCTTTGCACTTTAGCCGGATTTTGTCTTCCAAACGCTCGGATTCCGGATAGGATTGTTGGTGTGCAGTGGGCGGATCCGATTGGTTCTCTGTTTTTTTTTGGGGGGGGGGGGAGGGGGAATGAGTTTGGGTAGGAAGGGCATGGCAGCGATGAAGATGACCAATGGCGGTGGATTCGTTAAGAGAGCGGGACGAGGAGAATTGTGCGACTTTCGAGCAAATCAGATGATGATTTACAATGAAGGGTCAATTAGAATGGTACCAAGTATACGGCCCCCTCCGGAACCACCGCCATGGGTTGCACGAGGTGATAGAGTCCGTGAAAGTTTTCCTATTAGTTATTATTTTTTTGTCATCTGGATTCTTGTTATCGTCAATGTTGTTAGGTTTGTCAATTTTTTTGGGATTTCAGCCTTTTTTATGTCATTGAGTATGATCTATGGGAACATGGATGAATGTATCAAGCCCGCTACATGGTTAGCGATTCGCGTTGCTCTTTCAGGGGTGACCGTCTCTAAATCTGATCATAGAGTTTACAGTCGTAGTTGTTGGAATTTAGTTGGTGTCGGTTTTGTTTTTCCTTTGACTGATGTAATGATCCTGAAATTTATGATATGAAAGAAGGCTAGTTGACGATCAATATATATATATATATATATATATATATATATAACCGATTTTGTACTGAAAATAGCTTGATGTTGCGGTAAGATTGAATTTTTTGGAGTGTTGCACTAAAATTGTTTCATATTGCACTAAAATTTGACGACGTTGCACCAAAACAGCTTCATGTTGCACTAGATGGCTGTAATACGAATTTTTCTGAAAATGTCACCAAAGTGGGTTGCATATTTTAGTGCAATATAAAGTGTTTTTACTGCAAAATAGTCGAAACCAACGGCTGAGATTCATTCTCACTTCTCACCTAAAGGGTTCTTCTCACTTGAACCTTTTTTTTCCTTGAACCTTACCCTATATATATATATATATAGTGTTCCTGTCAGGACCTCCAAAAACGGACCTCCGTAGGGACCTCGGCGTTTGGGCCCCTTCCCGGTGGAATTTTTTGATGAAACTTTTTGAGCATGTTCTTCATCAAGTCTAGTTTGCCCATACCAAATTTCAGCTAAAAATGCCATCGAGAAGGCAGTCAAATGATTTTTGGAAGTTAATCGAGCACTTTCAGCGAAAGTGGGTTAACTTCCAAAAATCATTTGACTGCCTTCCCGATGGAATTTGTAGCTGAAATTTGGTAAGGGTAAACTAGACTTGATGAATAACATGCTCAAAAAGTTTCATCAAAAAATTCCACCGGGAAGGGGCCCAAATGCCGAGGTCCCTACGGAGGTCCGTTTTTGGAGGTCCTGACATGAACTTTTGGAGAGAGAGAGAGAGAGGGCTGTTCGAGTCGGGCGGCCTGACCGGACAGCCCCGTGCGGCCTTCCCCGTTTGGGGGGCTTCCCGGTGAAATTTTTTGATGAAACTTTTTGAGCATGTTCCCCATCAAGTCTAGTTTATCCATACCAAATTTCAGCTCAAAATTTGATGGGAAGGCAGTCAAATAAATTATTTAAACATACTGGGCATTCTGCGCATATATAAAGTGCAGTATGTTTCAAGAATTTATTTGACTGCCTTCCCGGTCGAATTTTGAGCTGAAATTTGGTACGGAAAAACTAGACTTGATGAGGAACATGCTCTAAAAATTTCATCAAAAAGTTCCACCAGGAAGGCACCCAAAAGGGAAAGGCCGCACGGGCCTTCCGATCAGGCCGACCTGACTCGAACGGGACTCTACACACACACACACACACACACACACACACACACACACACACACACACACACCGAGAAAATGGTCAAATGGTACATGAACTTGTTCCAAGTGGAGTAAGTAGTAATTCATCTTACAGTTGAAACTACAAAGTACATGAACTTGCACTTTTAAAGTCGATAAGTAAATTTGCTCTGTTAGAATGTTAAAATAGCTGACCTGGCCAAACTATCAATTTGTAATATATCGTTGCACTCCAAGTCATCAAATACTTAATCTATAAACTATAATTTCATCTGGTCCACTCGTTTCCACATTCGCTCTCCAACTTATATTTCGCATGTTTGCTCTCTATTCTCTCCACTCTTCATCTTATATTTCTCTCGTCTGCTCTCCAATGGCGGAGCCAAGGCACTGGGCTGGACTGGACCAGTACAAAGAATATTTTTGAAAAAAAAATTACACATAATTTTTACTTTAAAATTAAAACATTTTTTTAAATTAGGGTGGACCAGGACCTAGGTTGACCCCCCTCTAGCTCCACCTCTGCTGCTCTCCTCTATCGGCCCATCTTTATTATAGCCAGAGAAGAAGAAAATAAAATATAGCAAAAAGAAGCCGGCAGGATAACAGGGAGAGCATACGTGATAAATATAAGATGTAGAAAGCTGAGAAGGGAGAGCAGACGAGAAAAATATAAGATGATGAACGAAGGTGAAATTGAGTGGACGAGAAAAAAATAGAGTATAGATTAATTATTTATAAACTTAGACCACAATTGTATAATACAAACAGATAGTTTGGTCAGGTCAGCTATTTTAACATTCTGACAGAGAAGATGTACTTGATCAAATATAAAAATACAAGTTCATGTACTTTAAAATTTCAAATGAAAGATGAAGTACTACTTACTCCGGCCGAAACAATTTCATACTTCGTATATCATTTTGACCATTTCCTCTATATACTCCGTATACGTAGTATATACGATAGTATGAAATAGGAGGGAGGAGGATGGAGCATGGCGGTGGGGACAAAAATCGGCCATAAGGCAGCAAGGTCTGGCAGCAATACGAGATGAGGGGGGAGGGTAGTTTGGGTTTAAAATGAAATATTTAACCTAATAATTATACACAAAGTTTGGAGTATTTACAAAAATACCAAGAAGTTTATAAAAGCAGTTAGAAGCACCCATCTGCCAGCTTCTAACTTTTGGCTTAAAGTGCTTTTTTTAATTAGAAGTAGGATTTGACAAACACTTTTTTTTAGCTTTTTTAAGTTAAAAGCTGAAAAAATGCTTATTTTAAGCAACAACAAACACTCCTTTAACCTATCACTACATTAAATTAGGAGTCCAAAAATTTCACCTTTTAACTTTTTGGACTCCTAATACTTTATCACTACAAATAGTCTCATGGAGTTAACGTTAGACAGTTGGAACTTGGAAATATTGCACACCCAAAATGTGCCATGTCTAAAACTATAGCCACCGTCTATAGAATTTCCTTTCTTAAAGATAATGACTCATAACTACGTTTGTATTGTGAAGCCTAATGGAGTGCTTGGTTCAGTGCTTAAAAGCTAACATATAAACTAATAAAACCAAGATGCAAGATGAAGCCATTTTTGTAGGCTGTTATTCAACAATAAAAGCGAAGTATTACTGAACGATGATTTTTTCCTTTCATAAGACAATGTACATTTATATTATGATAAAGCAACATTTCTCGAAACTTTTACAACATAAAATATCAGACAAATATATTTAAAATCACTAAATCTACTTTTCCCACTCGATGTGTTGTGCATTGTACAATAATCTTAAGCGTGTTCTGCTATCCAATTTTACATCTGAACCTCATAATTAGAGCAAAAGAAAATAATCCTACAAAAAAAAACTTTATGCTCACATACCATTCCGAAACTACCTCGCACATATTCCTTGAGATAAGTTTTATGAAAGGCACTTGAAATCTCTCTAGTGTATTTACCAGTTTAAAATAGTAAAAACTATAATTTTGCATGAAGGCATAACTTTGGCCATGCTCAAGCACTCAACACTTGGCATCCATAGTCCACAATGTTTTGCCTACGCAGCAATTCCTGTAACATGATAAATCAGTTTTGTCAAGCAAAATACCATAACGGCATACATAGTGGAATTTATACAGCATATTAACATGAACAAGACAGCACAAATTCAGGTAAACCAATACTTAGGATATGTGGACAAAATCATGTCCATAAGTAGTCATTTAGCATATCTCATGGTACCGATAATTTGGAATCAAACTTGGACCTATTGCCTGGAAGTTGGTGAAAATTGGTGGTAAGGTACACCCATAATTCCATAAATGTTCAGAAATTTGTTTACGATAAGATATAATTGGTGGTAAGGTACATCCAAAGTTGTCATACAAATTCCCCAGGCAGTGGCATAATCCCTTCAAGAATAGATTTCTGTTTTTTTCTTTGAAAAAAGGGTTGCGCTTTTTTGGGTGAAGTGAGAGATGAAAAAATAGTAATGTCCATCATCCAGCTCATTTCCCAGTAGATGCCAAGGATATACAGAGTAATGTTTAAAGGAAGTGGAACATAAACATGGGCATACATCATTACCCCATCTCAAATTCAGTAAAATGACATTTGTATTGGGTAAATTTTTTACTGCAAAGCTTATATGCATAAATTATTTTGCTAGCCCACCCAAAATTCAAATTTCCGGGGATCCTGGCTACGCCACTTTACCTAGAACAAAATCAGCTAGAGTGTTCTAGGTAAACATAATGTTAAATTTGGAATACCAGAAGAAGAGAAGAATATCCTACGAAAACCAAGTGAGACATTAGTTGAGAAAAACAATATAGTACCTGTATTCGATCTATTTGTAATACTATAAGCACCAGCATAATCAAGTGAGTTTTTAGGCATAACAACATCTGAAGCCATACTTCCAAGCCCGTAGCGGAAAGAACCCGAACCCTCGCGATCGGCTGATAATGAATGCCAGGTTTGGTCTTCAAAGAATGACGTATCGCTTCCAGATCCATAAAGACTTCCAGAATGAACATCTTCTTTTCCCGTAAGAGTGGATGTTTCACCAATAATGCTGCCACTGTATGGTCTATACCCTGCTAACCCAGAATTATTGTAGTTGATAATGTCATTTCTAGAAGAGCTATTCCTTTTATGGTGATCTGGAACAGTGGGCAAATCCCAAATAGTTCCAAAGCCTCCAAAGGCAGAAGACAATCCAATACTGCTACTTCCTGAGCCAACAGAATCATTAAAAGTGGAAGAATTTGCATTGTTACGAAGAGTTTCGTTCTCCAACATATTCCAATTCAACATAGAGCTACCTCCAATCCTCCCAGAAGTATATCCCATTAGATCACTTAGCCTAGTTGAATTCCCACTGTAAATATGTCCATACCCAATGTTAGAGCCAAAGTTCCTGCCTCCCCTGTAATTTGAACTCAATGCTGAATCCAAAATTCCCAAAGAATAGCCGGAGGGGCTAAAGGAAGAGTATTGATTACGACCAACAGCAGTTGGACTGATTCTATCCATTGTTACTCCATAACTTCCATTTGTGGTTGGATTGTAGCCTAGAGTGTAACCGCTAAGGAGATTGTTCATTCTGTTCAAGCCAAACAGAGATACTCCTAGTGGACTGCGGATTTGCCCTGGAGATGATAACTCCTTAGGAACAGCTCGCTTTACCTCAACCATTTTACCATTGAGTTCATGAAATGTTTTGTACAAAACTTTATCCACTGCTTCCTCCGAGTCATAAGTGATAAATCCAAAACCCCTATGCCTTTGTGTGTTCTGGTCATACATCACAACAACATCTGTGATTGTCCCAAATTGATCGAAATACTTCTTGAAATCACTCTCAGTCACTGAAGATGCTAAACCTCCCACAAATATCTTCTTTGTACGAATGGAACCTGGTGAAGACTGCATGCCTACACTATTTCTATTCACCTGGTGGTCATCTCTAGGCACAGCCTTCTTTGCCTCTACCTGGTTTAAATAGTGCCGTGAAAATTAAAATGAGGTGCATTCGCTCACATTCCGAAAATATGAAGATCAAAAGATAAGAAAATAGTCAAATACATATGTTTTCTTAGTCTGAGGAATTGTATGGCTCAGGGATTTGGGAGGGAAGGGAATGGGAGGACCAATTTTTATTTTTCTATTTACTTCTATACTAAATAAAATTGTATGATTAGTCAGATGACTCAGAAATACTTTAAAAATAAATATCACCCTGCCCGTCCCCTCTCCTCCGAAATCTCCGGCCAGCCTGGCCAAACAAGCCTTAAGATCACACATGACTGATGCAAAAACAATGAATATATTTAAAAATTTCTCTTCGTTTTGCAAGTTACTTAAAATTATTAACTACAATATGCAAAAGGGAAACATAAATATACATTTTGATCTTAATAAAAATTCAAAAGAATCGTTGACAACATACAATTATGAAATATTAGGTACATTGTGGTTGTAATAATTTAAATTTAAAACTTACAGTTCGACCATCAATCATATGCTTCTCCTTGACTACGCTTTCGGCAACAGAAGGATCAGCAAAAATAACAAAACCAAAACCACGGGCACGACCAGTGGTCCGATCTTTCATGATCACTGCCTCGACTATTTCACCAAATGTTTGAAAATACTCTCTGAGACCATCTTCATTGGTGTCCCAAGAAATCCCACCAACAAATACTTTACCAGGTTCCATTTGAGATCTGCACAAACCAGTTATAATGATCTCCTATGACTATGGAAATTGATAAACAAAAGTTCCAAACATATCAAATTCACTGAGTGAAACATCCCTCACATCGCACATAATCAAAATCACTTTATAGCAAAAAAGGGTATAACAATAGATCCAAACAATTAAGAAGTAAATGACAAAATTGATTACAAACCAGTACTCATAGGATCTACCTTAACCTCTACGTATAACCATCCATCAATCAAGCAATTATAAATTTATTATAAAAAATGCCAAAACGCATACTCCGAATTATGCAACCATAAAAGCATAAAAACCAACATAAACAACCAAATCCTGAATTTCGTAATCAATCTGGCAAAACAAAACATGCGATCAACTAATCAAGAACAAGAACAATATCATTCGACCTCCTACAAATAAAAAATCAAAAGATCGTGATCATGAGTCGCATAAGGATCAACATAATTTCATCATTGAGATGAAAGTCATGAAATAATCAAGGAAAACCGATGCAATAATTCAAGGAATCTATGCTCATGAAATTACCAAGAGAGGTAGACCCGGACGAAAACTTATTTGAACTCAAGATCAGAGGCGAGGCATATATACAGAAGAGGGCACTGGAAAGGCCCTCTCTTTTCCTCTATCTTTTTTTTTTTTTGCTTTTTTACTTCAATATATCAATGTTCACCCTTTGCTCAACTGCCCCGGTAATTATATCGACATGGAGAGAGAGATGAAAGATAAAAGAAAGGAGAGAAAAAGAGAGTTTGTAGCATATTAGCAATGGAGAGAAAGTTAGCGATAATTAACGGAAGGGGGAATAGTGGTTTGAAATAATTATACGTAGTATTATACTCGTATAATGTGAGGGGAGAGTTCATGGGCTAATATTCTCGTGATTTGCTTAATTATCCCAAGTCCCAACGAGTTCGTATACGGTGGTATCACCCCACGGTGAGCACCGTGCTCCCACACCCAAAACGACGTAGTTTTGCACACTTTTTTTAAAAAAATTTCGCGTGAACAGTAACGCGTGAACAGTACACGCGTGTACAATAACTATTTTTTTGGCCCAATAGTATGAATGATGTAACTCGCTTGTAAAGATATGTAACTCACGTTATTGATCAATGTAACTCAAGTTCATTCGAAATGTAACTCTTTTTTTCAATGTAAACCATGAAAAAGAGAGTTTAATTGCACAATTACTTTATGTAAATCTTAAATATGTTTGGTTTTTAATATCATGACCTGATAAAGGATTTTTAAAAAAATCATTTTTTTTGTTTGAATACCAGATTTTTTATTCATGTAACTCATGTTATTACAAATGTAACTCGCGCTTCAGAAGATGTAACTCACTTCTAAAAAGATGTAACTTTAAAAAATGTAACTCACATATAAAAATATGTAATTCCATGTATTAATTAATATACATATAAACCAATTACTCCATATCACCATACGCATCCAAACCAATTACTCCATAAAAAAGCAGTAAGCTTTCCTTCCCTAATTCTTTCCACAAAATCAAAGAGCACTATTCTTCAGCAGCTAACCGAGCTTTCTCTTCAGGGCTGGGGGTGTCAATTCACGATTCAAAGAAGCAAAGAGAGAACTTTTTTTGATTGGTTGGGGATTTGAGCTGCACGAATCTAGATACATCCAACGGGGGCTCCAATGATTTTCCATGTCCCTAAATTGAATCTGCGGAGAAACGGCCTGCGGAAAAGTTGGGAAGGAAGAAGATCGATTTTTTTTTTAAATAAAACGGTGCCGCTTAGGGATCGGCACACCCTGCGCACGGTGGGTCGATCCCACGGTATAATCTGCGAGTCCCAACTACTAACTCTAATAATTCTCTTAATGATGTAAGAATGATAAAAAGTATGGAGTGTGCATGTTTTTAATTGGATTGGAATTTTTTGATCTGATCTGGTCTGAACTGGTCTTATTTGATCTAATAATTGTTTATTTCCTGTGCATTTTTATAAACGTTCAAACCTGATCTAGACTGAGATTGAAAATTTTCCACGTAAAAACGGTAGGAAAATCAAATTGTATATTCATAATAATTTATTATTTTATTTCTTCCGTCTTCAATAAATAATTGATATTTTTTAAATACAAAATTGAAGATAATGAAATAAGTTTATCCAACTATCGTCGCATTTTTTTCTATTTTTATTGAATTTTCGACGGAAAAGTACTATCTAAAAATTGTCCCCATGATGACAATAACATGCTTCACTATAAGTTATTATCCTAAATAAGAGTACAACATTAGAAAAGTTCCAAATTAAGAGTTTTCTTTAATTTATTTTCTAAATAGGACTAATGTAATTAATCTAAATCTCCCCTCAATCGTACGTTTGTGGTGAACCCCCCCCCCCCCCCCCCCCCCCGTCTCCCCTCTCTCCTCCCCCATCTCCCCTTTCGCATCTATCATCCCTAAGTTCATATCTGAGACCTACATTTCATATCTGAGACCTCCATTTTACTCTCTTCTATAATAGATTCAATTTAATCTTGTCGATCTCAGTTTCCTTCATCTCCGACAATCTTTAGATGTATGAAAGATGAAATTTCTCACCATTTCCGGCCACCGGTGAGCGGCGAACGGCCACTCGTGAGTGGCGTACAAGTATGGTTGGATCTTCTTCTTTTTCCACCATGTTTGTGATTTTTTTTATTTACTTCAAGATTTTTTTATCATCATCATTATCATTATTATTACCATCATTATCATTATCATTATCATTATTATTATTAATTTATTATTATTATTATTATTATTTCATTATTATCAACCCAAGATGATTCATGATTCATGTGCCACTTTTGAAAAGTTGAAACTCTATGGTCAATGCCTCAAACTTTGTATCATTATTGAAACGGTATTAAAATGCTATTTGATGTTGCTTGCATTGAACATGACATCAAAACTACTCAAAATTAATGAATTTCCAAAGTGTTTTGTCCAAACCGATACTGTGCATACTAAATGAAACTAGAGAATTTTTCACAAATAAACCAAAAAGTAAAAATAATATTCCATATCATTTTTGTCACTCTTGAAAGTTTTTTCAAAAATAACATAATCAATGTCTTGTTTTCAATAGTAGACTCTAAGCCTTAACGCCCAAATATCTAACGTTAAAGGCTTAAAGCTTTAACATGTACACACTATTTGTATCCAATCCTAGCTACCTCATATGGAACTCATGAATTCAAACTAAAATCATAATAATAAATGTTAGAAAAATAAAAGTGATAAAAAATGTTAAATAAATTCTACATATTGAGCAACCATGTTTTTAAAATCTAAAAAAGATTTAAAAAGTTAAAAATTAAAGAAAAGTGTAAAACAGTACAAAAAAAGAAAAAAAGTAGGAAATAATAATAAATTCAAATATTAAAAAAAAACTTAAAATTTAAAATGATAAACAACTAAGTTAGATAATAAAAGATGAAGAACACAAAGTTAAAATAAGAAATAAATAAAAATTGGAAACTTGCTAATTAAATTTAAAAAAAATAAGTTTAAATTTAAAAAGATCAGAAAAATAGGAAAAATTACTTTAAATAATACCAACTATCACCCATAAATCAATAATAATACATACTTTGAAAATGATTTTTAATAATACCAACTATTTGAGTATAAATAAAAAAAATTATGGAGTCACTTTTTAACAAGAAATCTAGTCATTTAAGACACTAAAAACTAATAGAAAATTATCAAATAAATGATATTTGGAAATACAATCACTTATTTGATATTTTGATACTAGTTTTTGATGAATTAAATAACTGAATTTTCATTGAAAATTGCTATATATCACTAATGGTTTATATTTAAATAGTTGGTATTATTAAAAGTAATTTCCAAAGTACATATTATTTTTAGATCATGGAAGATAGTTTATACGGAGTATTATTTAAAGTTATTTTCCCAAAAAATATAGAACATTTAAATGTAAATAAGTTAAAAATAAAATATAAGTTTAAATAGTTTAAAATATCAATAAAACTATAAAAAAGACTTAAAATTAGATCAAAATGATTTGAAACTATTAAAAAGTATGAAAGCTAATTATAAATTTTTATGAAAAGTAATTTTCATTAAATCAGATCACATACAAAGTAAAAATATATAAGATTCACATAAAAATAAATACATATAATAATAAAATGTTAAAAGATTCCAAAGCATTTTTATAAAGTACAATAAAAATAGAAAATATAATTCATAAGGTTTTAAAAAATCATAAAATTTATATAAAATATAAAGAGTCTATGATAAAAAAAAACTATATTTTAAAATATTAAAAACCCCAATATGAAAAAATGTGAAAAGCCTTGTAGAAAAAATGAAAACTTAAAAATAAATGAAAGATTGAATTTTGTCATGTAATGTTGCTAGATTAGTTAAATAGATTAATAATTATTATTATAATCATTATCATCTTATTGTTACTTTTTGTTGCATATTTTTTTTGTGTTTCTTTTTGTTGATAACTTTGATTTCTTTTATTTCTTATTCGTGTTTCTTGTTGTTAATATCAGTGTCGGCCATGGGGGCAGCTTACCTAGAGTCATCGCAATTTATATCTTACACCCGGGTGTACATGTACACCCGGTTATTTTGTAATTAGTAGGAAGTTTGAGGATAATTAATAGGTTTAGTTGCTTCCTTGTTCCGCCGCTGCTCCACTCCCGTTCGTATGTTCTCCTTTCTTTTCTTCTGTTTATTCTTTTTTTTTTCTTTTTGTTCTCCTTTTTTTGTTTTCGTTCTTCTTTCTTTTCTTTTCTTTTAGTTATTCTTTTTTTTTCCTTTGTTTGTTCTCCTTGTTTTTTGTTTTTTAGCAACCTTCTACTTTAATGTTATATTCAATTATTATGAAAATCTATATTATAAAATATTACTAAATGTTTCAGTTTCTTTTTTAGATTCATGTAGGAGTTGATTATAGATATAGGAGTATAGATCGTGATACTCGGTTGCATGTTTTCAATACTTTATAGAGGAGATTTGATGCTCAATAAAAATGTCTTAAAGTTCAACTAAAAAGCTTATGATTTTCATATCAATACTCATTCTGTAAGTTATGTTTGTTCATTTTGTTTTCATATTATGCTCATTTTTAAAATGTCATATTCATGCAAATTTTAAAAATTGCATATGACATTAGAGGCTTAGAGCTATTGTATTTGTATTCTAAGATTTGGATGAAACATTACTATGAAAAGCCTTGTAGACACCGGATTTGGATGCTCACCGATGCGCCGCCGCTTCTCACTGTTGCTCGACAACGGCACGATGCTCACCGTTGGTCCCCTCTCCTCACAGTCAATTCTCTCTGCTCACTGCCGCTGCCTCACCTCAAAGCTCTCCGATGCTCCCTGACACACTGACACGGAAGCTCCTAGTTGCAGAAGATGAAGGAGAATGGGAGCACTGTAGAAGATGAAGGAGAAGCTGCACACGTTTTGAAACATTTAGATTGAAGGGAGGGTAAATTTGGAACACTAGTCCTACTTAAGGAATAAAATTTTCCATGCTCCTGTTTTGAAATTTCAGCCACAATTAATGTAGGATGTTTTCTTTTGGATTGAAATTTCTTGGTCTGGTAAACGTCTGATCTCTGTGTATTTTATAACTAAGGAAGTCTGGTCTGGTCTGGGATTGAAAACAGTCCAAAAGAAAACATCCTTAGTCATTTTTTTATCGAAGAGGGCTTAATTCATAATAATAAAGCATTCAGTAGGGATACAAGATAATAAAAGAACCACAAATAACCATTCGCCCGTG